ATCATAATACTGTTTCGTTCCTCTAGGACTCGTCAGTTTTACTACATTATAAAGTTGTTTCGTCCCTCTAAGGCTCACCAGTGATGCTAAGAGACTAAATCTTAAAACTAGGCGATTGTGGAAAATGCAAAATATCTTCACTTTATATTTTGCATGTGACTAGTGTAACATGCCCCAAAGCGTTTTTCGTTGACTATGCCAGTCAGAAATCGATTGTGACATTACATAGTGAATTGAAAATAACGCAACAAATTGGCTCCCTCTGCTTGATATTATCCATCACATTTTAACTTTTAAAAATGTAATTTTCCAGTGTTATTTAATAAAACGTATCTTTAATTTGTTTTTATTTCACATTTATTTTTTTTATGAAACTCATTTCGAAATACGTTTTTTTCTCTCCATAAGACTCGCAAGAATGAAAACTTCTAAATCTTGTTGAATGAAATATTATATGAAATGAATATTCATTCAAGATCCTATATTTTTTTCTTATTTTTACAATCTGTCTTATACTATTGTATTCAACAGAGAATTTTAAAATTCATAACTTTAGGCCATTTTCTGGATTTGCACACGAAAGCATGGCCCATTGATCAGATCGATGAGAGTGATAATATAAGTTCTTTAAGTACACCTACGCAGCTGACAAGTGGTGGTTCAGTCGACCCTCTGATCTATAAACCTGATTATATTTGTGGAATCACCCTGGCCACTTGTAGCGCAACAGTGACAGACGGAAGCAAATCAACGACCAATGCCAAAAACTCATTATTTCAACCAGTGCACGAGCTAAACCCCACCTATGTATACCAATGCTATGGTATACTGTGGCGTTCAATCTAATAGCATCATCCAGTTCGTCTAACTCAATCTGCCGGGTGTACACAAGTCTCATCTTGTGTAGCATGTTTTTGTGACTCTGAAATCACAACAATGAACATGACCCAGTGGGTGTCCTTGCGATTATACAGAAAATTCGATTTGGAATCTTATTTGTACAGGTGTTGTTGGCGGGTCATACCAATTCCAATTATATAAAGGCATTGCCGAATCCTTCATAACAACGTATGTTCTTTAATGATGCCATTTTGGTGCCTTGAAAATATCGAATTTTGATAAACTGGTGCTTATATTATACACCGAGACACTTTCTCGTGCGTCCCGTTAATCCGGACAGAAGAGTGCGTTTCCACAGGATTGATTGATAGAAAGTCCTTTGACTGATGTTGTTTCGGTTGTACATGTAATCATTCTTGACTACCAATTTCGCTCTGATGTGTTATTATATTTACAGCTAGCCTACTCGGTCTTTCAGTGTACATCATGTTGTGCTTTCGTAGGTCATAGGGTTAATGGAGGCAATTCCACGTTATACAAAATGTCTTTAACAACTTAAACTTCAAATGATGTCACATCGCCTACAAAGAGAAGACATCTTTGCGAAATTAGCACATATTGGACATGCTAAAGGGATACGACATGACAGTGGAGACAGATCCAGGGAAAAAGTTAGCCGCAGAACAGTTTTTTTTCTCTCCCTTTCTGGCAGTTCTAAGCTAGTTCACACTTCAAAGTAGTATACAATTTCCTGAGATCTCTGGTGACTGCTGAAACAGTCATCTTATTCAGACAATGGCAATTCAAAAGCCGAGCACTTCAAGCCTTTAATCAGAATCTGGAGCAATGTACTTGGGCTCGTCAATAATTAACTTAAAACGTCGTGGAAGCATTCAGTGTAAATGAAAGATGTATGTATACTAGTAAGTACGAAATACATTGACAAGAAGAATCTTCAAATGTCACAATGACTTAAGTCAGATGACGTGCTGTAACATATATTGAAACAAATGCATACAATGAACAATTCAATATATATATTTTATCTATTTTTTGTATGTAAGGTACATGTATGTATCACACACACATTGTATACTCAACATCGCCCTATGTAGAATATGAAGTACATCCTAAATGATTTACACTTTGTGTGTGACTACGTTGTAGTAGACATCTTGTTCGTTACATATACATGTAGCTTTTTCCGCAGCCGCTATTACCTTTTGTACATGTACATTCAATATATCTTTCAGTTATCTTAGAACAAAATTTAATTCTAAAAGAAAGTTACACTGTAAGGTGGCTTTGAACCATGCTTGCTATGAGAAGTTTTATTTCTCTAACAAATCATGATAATTTTGTTATCTAGACCTGAAACCATGACAACATACACGTACCGAATGTTGCAGTCAAAAATAATGAGTGTATTAACCTGTGTCACATAACGCAAGAAACTGATGCGTTAAAGGGGGGACAACTCTGTCTTGTTGACACGGAAATGCTCATCATTGGGTTTTATACCACAAGCATTCCAGCACATCTGATAGGTAAATACACACATATTCAAAAGTTACGTGGTCTTCAACGTATCGGGGTTGACGTTCTTCAGAATGGTCTATATTTGTATTTTCTTATTGTAAAAAAAGGTCTTAGGTTTGCTTGCCCGAAGCAATATAAATGATAATGTAATAATAGGTTAGTCAGGCATGAGGTAAATAATGTAAACATGTATTCATATTAAAGCAGAAACAGCCTATTTGTCGATAAAAGCGCGATGTCAAGGGCAAGAAATTGAATGACTCTGTATCGTGGTAAGGGTTCTGCCGCGTATTCAAAACTGAAGTACATGTATATCAAACTGATTACTTATATTTTAAATGAAAATATCAATCTCTGAAAACAATAAAATGCAGTCTTAATTAAAAAATATCCTGTATAAATTTGCAAAATTCATCATGCAGTCCTTTTGACTACAATATAAGTTTGTGTCTTTAACAGCGAACGTGATTCAAATCGCCTGCACTCATCCCAATCTCAAAATGTGATACCGCGATCAAAACCTCATTCTGATCTCCAGGAGTTACTTCCCTTCGTTTCAATCGGTCAGTGTAGCTAGACAGCAGATGGAGGACAGAGAATGTCAAAACTATCACCTTAACACGTGAACCATGTCAATCTCACTCACATTCAAAAACATCAGCAACCAGCTAAGTTGGTGGGTTAAAAATGTATGCAAACAAAATATATATGGATATGTAAGAAAACAACAAATATGTAAACATTATTTATTGCAAACAAAACTAAGTCACATTAGAAACACTATATTATAGATAAACCAGGGACGTAGATAACCTGGATAAAAGTACATCTATTGATATGACAGATAATTTCACAACCAACCTGTAATAATATTTTATCACAATAAAGGTATATATTAGTATGAAAATAGAAATTGATAATCAATATAAAACTTATTTTACAACAAACATTCGACACATCGTTAATAATATTGCGATATCACAAACATCGTTGGTCTTGATGATTAATAGTCGACTACAAAATAAATTGTAAAAATGAAATAAACTTATTTTTGAAATATTGATTCTTGAAAATGACAAAAAAAATATTTTGATTCGATCTTAAAATTTCAAAATTCACATAATGCATGCGTCTTTGAGAAGAGTATTGTAACAGATAAATGAATTTAAACTACGGACAATTCTTTCTGTAACTACAATTTTTAGAAATAAACATGATTAAGATTATAAACAGTATAAAAATGGATTTCATTGTATATTATGGTATTTGAACATTTTGGACAAAGTCAAGGTTAGCATGACGTGTAAATTGCATAATAATACACAGAAATGGAATGTTTACAGTAAATGTCAACATAAAAAGCTTATAGTAAAGTAAAAATTAAATATTTAAAGGTATTTAACCATATTCAAAATATAAATGATAATACATTTAATTCACAAATTCAAATATTCATTGAATAATCTGTCCAAACACAGACCTGAACATGAATACAATTTTCCTGTAGATCCAGTTTGAATTATTGGTATCATGTATAGACAACAGAATTCAAGCGGTGCAATGTTCAAAGGATCATACAAAAGGGGTTCACAAGAGAAAAACATTCTTCCTCACAGCAATATAATATGTCTTTAAAATATTTTGAAGAATGATCATTGTTCTTGTTATTTCTGAAACTTTTTTATTTTAATGTACTTATTTAAATTATCCCTTTAGAAGCATTTTTGCTAATACAACAATGGTGTTGATCCAAATTTGATTCAGTTTCTTTTACATACTCTCATCTTTAAAACTGATGTGTGCTCCTCTCAACAACACAGTGCATATCTTCTCTTTGTCCTAAGTATAATCAGGAAATATCTAAGGAACTAAGGAAAGAAACCAACTTAGATTCATAGGAGACTCATCCTTCCTCCATAAAAATAATAGGTCAGTTTTTTTAACTTTTAGAACTCGTCCAAATGCTGCCTTAAGTCTACGATTTTGTTAAAAAGTTATTCTAATCAGAAGAATTTCATTTTTTTACTTAAGTTTATATATGGGTGGTGCTGTCTGTCAAACAGATATACCCACAGTAACACAACATTGCATAATCAAATTATATTCTTGATTCAAAATCACCACTGCATTTCCTTACAAAATGGCAACAAACATGACATGGCGAGAGCCTTTCACATCACTATCACATTAGCTCATCCTAGGAATATTTGGGATTTCAAATAAATTATACGCAGTACTTAAACAAGGCTGACATAACTTCAATCAAACATTATAACTTACTCTGCAAAATACATCATTATGGTGCAAGAGCTGCTGTACTGTGAGATAATAGTAGTTCAATTATTTTACTTAATCTGAATTCATTAGGGTAGTACTTAGTTATGAATGTAAAATTTAACACTGATTTTAACAGTAGATAGTTAATTAAAATATATAAATGTATCAAAAACTAGGCTGTAGATAAATATTACATACTCATTGATTTTTACAATATACACACAACATTTAACAATATTACTTGTTATCTCCCTTTGATCCATTTTCAAATTTCTTCCAAATCATTCTAAAAAAATTTTTGTGTATTTATGAAAAAGTCTACATCCTAGTCATTGAAAGTGGTATTATGCATTAACACATTTATGGAAAGTACAACATGAAATGACAGCTATATAGAGTGTGTGTTGTAATGTCATATTTCAAATTGGTCTGGTATACGCTTCAAAGTTCATCTCTTCCATGTGCCAGAGATTCCCGGACAGGTTTCATCATTTTCACATTCTTTCCAAAGTGGATGTCGAAGTTGTCTGTGTCATCATTATAGACAATCTTGCCCTTCTGTAATGTGTATAGTTATATCCTCATTAGCATGTTTGATGTTTCTTGGGAGACATTAAAACTACAATAACTTATACCAAAATAATTGTTTTAGGAAAAAATTCTCTACTGTTCCTAATATATCATAATAGTATAATATCTAGATTGAATTTACAATTTTTTCCATGGACATCTTAACCTACATAGATCTCTGATACACATTTCTGTTAAATAATCAGGACCTTTGATACCATGATTTCTGTTATATAACCAGGACCTTTGATACCATGATTTCTGTTATATAACCAGGACCTTTGATACCATGATTTCTGTTATATAACCAGGACCTTTGATACCATGATTTCTGTTATATAACCAGGACCTTTGATACCATGATTTCTGTTATATAACCATGACCTTTGATAACCTGATTTCTGTTATATAACCAGGACCTTTGATACCATGATTTCTGTTATATAACCAGGACCTTTGATACCATGATTTCTGTTATATAACCAGGACCTTTGATACCATGATTTCTGTTATATAACCATGACCTTTGATAACCTGATTTCTGTTATATAACCAGGACCTTTGATACCATGATTTCTGTTATATAACCATGACCTTTGATAACCTGATTTCTGTTATATAACCAGGACCTTTGATACCATGATTTCTGTTATATAACCAGGACCTTTGATAACCTGATTTCTGTTATATAACCAGGACCTTTGATACCATGATTTCTGTTACATTCATAATCAATATGATTTGAAAAGCAGATACAATGGCATTCCAAGCCAACCTTTACAAAATTGTGTACTTCTAAAATGTAATTCACAATCTTTTTAATGATTTTAAAGAATTTTTGAATGTCTTGAAGCGAAAATGTATATTCAAATGTATATTATTTGTAGATATCTAGCTTACCTTGTAATAAATGAGTTCCCTGATCTGAAGATCCTTAATAACATATTGATCCACATTATATTTGAATTATGAAACTTCATCAACAAACCATTGTTTAGTGCATTACAATTGTTTAAAGGCATGTGTCATTCCAAACAGTACAACGTACTTCATCAATTCAATAGCAAAAACCACATTGTTATCTAGGATCCTCTTTTTCTCTGTCAACTGAGCAAACCAGACCTACATTTCTAGTGTTGGTTATGTTTGAATACTTACTTTAGGATCATATTTCTCCTCCTCCTCCTCAACTGCTCCTCCACAGGCAAATGTCTCTTTGTTGCAGATAATGTGAGCGATGTGCAGGTAGGAATGTCCTTTACGACTTTTCTTGCTATAGTAATCCTTTAATACATACACCAAGTCTTGTTGGTGACTATCTACAAACAAAATTGGAATCCTGGTGTTAAACATACAATTTTTTTTCTGTAATAGTACTAACACGCTGAAAAATTGTAAACTAAAAAAAAGAACACACACAAAAAGAGAACCTGCAATGTTTATTACAACACTTGTATGTATACAGTCTGATTGGTCACACAGTGCTTGATATTTTTTCATCAGGCATTCAAACGGCTGATAAACATGGGAAGTACTTCCCTTGATAGAAATGTCACAATGGCATACTGTCACAATGAAGCAGACACATATTTTTTTCATATCGTTTTCACAACAGCAGTCCTATTTTTAAAGGAAGTGTATATCTGAAATGTCATAGATTTTAAAGGTAGAATCTCCACAAGAATAATGAATGGTTATATTTAGGTTTAAAGTTTTGAAAATTTGAAACCATGAATCAAAGCTCCCGAGAGAAATAGATTTTACCAAGTGATCATTAATCTAGATAAAGTATATTTTCTAGAACTGATGTACCAGGATTTCCAAATTTGTACAAACTTACCCATTAAGTGTTCACATGCTTTAACAAGCTTTTTTGCGCTATACTCGTAAGATTTGAAGTAATCCTCATGACAAATCGCTTGTAATGCATGCCTGACTCTCATCTCCATTTTCTCCGAGGTGTGATACTGTAATCTCCCTGAAAGCTCTGCAAGTGACATAAAATATATGAAAATATTGATTTCCTGTAAATGTTGCCAGTCCTTGTTGTTATAAATATTATAATTAATATCTATTTTTGTGAACTAACTAAAATTTCTAAATACATTTATTAAGATAAACTCTGTTCTACCATGCATAATTCATGAACATGTAAAACCTCTTTCAGAAACAATGTAAATATGTCACACTATTTTCTGACAATGTGTACCTAGAACTACTTTTTTTTATTTTGCAGAGTACATGTATGTGAATGTCAGTATAATTGTTTGATGGAAATTGCATAACTGTTCAAGTGATTAGAAATAGTTTTATTATTCACATTACCTTTTACTGTGGCCTTGCATCCAACACAGTACATCTCTGAAAAAAGCAAAACGTCACAATTTATAACAGGGATTGCATAACGTACAATGTAGTATTGTAGTGTACACTGTACCAAGCACCATGTACATCGCACAGATGTAACAAACATCCACATGTATCATTTCTGATTATAGTGTCCATTGACTTCCCTAATCCAAATATATACACATACGTATACATGCATTTGTCACAATCGACCATGACTGTAAATTACACTGTCAATACATGTACATACATTTTAGTTGATTATATATTGACAAATTCTACATTGACAAATTCTATATTTCAACAAAATTTAGGTCCGTGCATTATCTGGCCATCAGCTTGTCACGAAAGCAGACATGCTGATGCTAGTGTTTGGTTTATCAGCTGATCATACAGACAAGCTTACCTTCAGATAGGTCAGCAGGAAATCCCTTGTGTGCTACAGCAACATGCACACATACAGCTGCGAATACCACAAGGAATTTGCGCATTTTCTCCGTACTGGTATGCTGTCGTACCTTGATTGATGAAAAAAACATTTATATTGTAACACCAGGGACGTCACTGGTAACACTAGGCTAGCTGTGGTGACCACTCCGTGACAGACACGTAGCGTCTAGTTACCGGAAGTGTTGTTATACAAAATTTTGCATCAAAGTCAATGAGATGTTTTACCTAATAGCGGGAAACATCAAGGACGTATAATACAGATCTGTATTGAAATATAAAAAATCTAGTTCAACAAAAATGCAACGTAAAACCCTAACTTTACAGGATAATTGTTCACAAACCTTCAATATCTACAACTAAAATCATCAATGGGTAGATTACGATAGATTTCCGAAATTCTAGCATTGGAAAACCCTATACAGCAGTTCAAATAGGATAATTGGCATACCTATAATGCCCGGTCGGTTTGTTTACAGATTGAATTAAGGTTTCACAATGGTATTTCCATTTAGTAGTACGTCACGCTTTAAATTCGCTACCAGTAACAGTATAATCCCGGGAGACGCTTAGGACGGACCTGATCAAGTGTCGACCACTGTGCTATTTACACAAGTGCACGTTTCACTGAATATCATAGATTTCAAACATAATAATGATCACTACAATATAAGGTTCCCTTCGTTCCAGTTGGCAGGACACATTATATATAACTAATAATACCCGAGCCCCATTCTGCTTCACTGTTCACCAACTTCAAGGAATGCTGCATTCAATCACAAATAATTACGTTTAAAATTTATGGGTTTGGAAAAAATGCTTTGTCATTTTAAAGGCGGGGTTTGCACAATGTATATGTTAATACAACCAGGGACGTATATGCCTGCCATATACGTCCCTGATACAAAATCAAAACCAATTCATTGTTGCCGTCCATTACCTGACTACACCACTCTATACATTATGTATACCCTGTTTGAGCCTTTATTTGATAATGTTGATTGTAAATGTTGTCACTGCACTTTATGATTCTAATCTAGCCTATGTATTCCTATGTAAAGTCAATGTACATAGAGTAACTATACAAAAGCTGCCCATCGTACATCGATTTTAACGATAACGTTTATGCTAAATGAGACTGAAGTATCAAATAGAAGATTGATAGCTATAAAAAAAGACGGCAGTTTGTGCCTAGACGTATAAAAACATAATGTATTTCACTGAATTGTACAGATTTAATTCCGATGATAGGGGTGATGCTCCAGCGGTTAAAAAGAATGAGAGTTCATAACCGTGAAATTGTAAAAAGGATAGATGAAACACAATTTCGTTCAGATTACAATATATAACATTGATGCAAATAAGCTGAACTAATAAGAGAGCCTATACATTTTGAAAAGTGTCTGTATATATATATATATATATATCCAGATTGCTACATCTTTCATACTCTAAGGAATATTTCCCAACGTTTGTTCTGACTCTTTGTGGGTATGTTTTTGTTGGAGCTGGTTCTTAAGCTACTTCTCTCTGTAACTTTATTCCATGGTGTGTAAATATTATTTGTGACTTTATGATACATACATTATCATATATGTCTCAACTATTTCTTCCCTTTTCCTACGAAATGTGAGTGTTGTCCTAATTTTTTTTAAACTTTCATCATAAATTAGGTTTTTCATTCCAAGAAATGGCTTTGCTACTCTCCTCTTCACACATTCTATGCTCTCGATAGCCCTGATTTTGACAGGGGGAAAATTGAACTTGAAAGTCCAAGTGGATTCTAATGAGTATTTTGTATAAATAGGTAAAGGAATTTCTGTACAGGAAATTTCTACACCTTTCATACTCTTAGGAATATTACCTAACGTTTGTTCTGAATCTTTGTGGGGAAGTTTTTTTGGAGCTGGTTCTTAACCTACTTCTCTCTGTGACTTTATTCCTTGTACCTCAATCAGAAATTTCTTACTCAAATTATATGGTATTATCGTTTATGATTCCGAATGTAGGAGCCAGGACAAATATTCTTCACCATTCACATCCATTTGGGACTGAGAGCGTTTCGGCATCAAGTGAGAATGTATCAAGACCTGAACATTTGATGCCAGATATTAATCTCTGTCATTAAAACACGGATACCGCATTGGAGTATTATTATTTATTTGAAAGAAAGAAACATGATGTTGTCTTTTCGTTTACAGTTTAAAGCTGTCATTTCTATTGACTATAAATTGTATACAATTGTATGCTAGTGTATATTGATATACTATACATGGTTTACATGAATATTTTACCTGAAACAATAACTGTGTTATACATTAAATAAAAAGTCTACATTGGAATAATAGATTGTTAAAAAGGTGACGTTGTAGCACATTTCTATATAAATTTGGTATCTGAATATGCACAACAAAAAGCAAATTGCAACGGTCGATAACGGCAATGGGTTTTTATTATGCTATTGACTGCCATGTTACCAAATCTGCTCACCATCTTTTTTTTCTTCTAGAAATAAGAAGTGTTCACTTCCGGATAGGTATTGCGACAGAATACCATAGAACGGAATTTTATAGACGGACAGCAACATCCTTACCCGATGGTGTTTGTACTCGTGTCCTATCGATGTAAACTGTGTCGTCATCTTCTTAAAACCAGTTATTGTCATGGATATCCTGAAAATCTCCATGATATGATATCAATGACAATAGTATGATATCGACGACAGCAGTAACAGGAATGATATACTACGAACTTGCAGGTATATCATTTGACATTTTAAGACATTTCTGTTTAACAATGTATAAACACTTTTTATTGTTAAATAGCCGTACATTTACATGTATTGTTGTTTCCTAATAAACCACGATAATACAACGCTGCTAATAACGCCTCCCACATCTTGCACATAGTATTACGTAAATCGTGTTTGACATGTTCATATCCTTCGTAAAGTTAATTTATACATTCATAAACATTTTAAGACATAAACTTAATATGAAATCGAAACATCACACAACAAATAGAGTTTCAAGTTTAGAAAATGAAATTTTAAAGATATTGTTTTTGACCGTCTTTAAAACCATCTCACCGAAGGCTACTCCTTCTGTAAAATATATTCATATTTTTTTTTATCTAAATGACGTGATCTCCTGTTTCAAAACGACGTTTCCGCTGTATTATGTTTTTCTAAGATAGAATTGCAGTTTCAGAATAAAATAGATGTTTTGTGGATTATCATCAGAACACAAACACTGTGATGATGTTTGAATAAGCTCTGGTGTCTGTCCAGACCGTGTAGAATCACCATCCCTAAACCATACATAAAATCTTTATCTTGATAAAAGAATGGAGAAGTGAAATGTTCCTTTTACCGTATCCGGTTTTATAGTAATCAGTCTTTAGTATCGTCTAAATCACATACATATTTGTATCAGTTTCACAAATAACTTATGATATCTACAGGAGAGTTCTTCTGTTGCAAACAAATCCTGTACTTTAGCATTGTATTTTTCGACATATTCAATGCAAATTATATAATAAGTTAATAGGACGCAATTTATAGCGCATGGCAATAGAAGACTGTAATATCTCCAGGATTAAAAAGAGAAAAAGTTATCCATAAACCTGAAGCCGCTTATTTTCCCAAACACCTGATTTCATTATCTTTGTTCTTTTTCAGGTCCATGCAAATCTTTTGTTTATTATTTATCCTAGTTTTATCAAACTGTATATGATGATTTTGTAGACATGTTGATATTTTCGTTGTTGTTGCAATACTTTAGATCCCTAGCATCATTAACGAATCTTAATAGGACGAGGTGTCTGTAGGGAGCAGTTTCATCTGGCTATGATATTTACATTTCTTGTATTCAGTTCATATTGTATACCCTCGTTAACTTGATGTTGTCGCAATGCTTAATATACTCTACACCTTTGTATACTTAATAGATTTACAATTGCTTCAAATTGTAGAGTTTACAGGTCACCCATCAGTGGTCAATTCAATTGTTGCCCAGACAGTGGGACAAACTGTCGATATTTACTGTAATTTTGGATATATACTTAAGGGTGATCCCCAGAGGACATGCATTCGGAACGGACAGTGGACAGACGTCAATACTGAGTGCACATTCTTATTAAAGGTGTAAAAGGTCATATTTAAATCATGACGAAGACATAGAATACCTGATACATTCATGCATATAAAGAGTACATCTTTTAAGAAATTTGGCATTTTCAAAGTCAATATATGTAATTTACAACCAGTATTGAAATGTATTGTTGTCATTGCAATATATAAAGAAGTACATATCAGAATTACACCAATAAGAAATGTAAATGTAGACTGGCTACCAGCCCCTGAGTTAGGTAAACCAATATCTCGCTGCTTTTGTTTGCTATCTAAAAGCTTATCTAATCTCTTATATTATGAGATCACAACTGCAAGTCTAAATAATTCTATAATTTAAACATCCCCTTTTTTTCTTCATATTTTGTATGCCTTTCATCCTGTTTACATATCGGTATGTCCTTGTTATTTCTGAAAGGACTTTTGAATACCACATCAAAATAAAACGAGTATTTGATAAGACACACAATGAATTCACAAACAATACATGAAATTGTCATTTTTGAAGATTTATTTCCTGCCCTCTTTACAATCATTGTAGAAAGGATGTCTCGGGTTGAGGAGCTCAAGGATCTTTCCTGAATTTTACAATAATACTGAAACGTTTTGGTTTAAAACCAAATTTTCATAACTTTATCAGACTTTTCTTTCATATAATGGATTTTTATAATTAAGACTTTTCACAAATTAGTCAATATACCTATTCCTATTGTTACGTTTCTTCTCATAATCATTTTAATACAAGGTAACCGGTAATAAGTATTTATATATTACTACAGTATTTAGAATGTGGAAGTATCTATCCTAGATGCTCATTCAGAAAAAAAACCTTATCAACAGATGTCAATAGATTATTTTGGAATTAATAGAAATTTTCGATTAAGAAACATTTGCAACATATTTAAAATTATTGGTGTTATATTGTAGTAAGACTGATATTGATCAACACATTATCAATAATTCAGTAGTATCCAATGTAAACGAAAATTTTTACTTAACGTTTATTAAAGAGAGGTTACTCTAAATGGCTTGGATAGGAATTGAAATAACGGTTACATCAGCAAGTTAACCATGTAATTGTCCCGTGTGGTTAAATCATCTAATTTTGGAAGGATGCACCCATATTAATTGTTGAATATTGGCTATGGTCTTTAACATAAATCTAGTACCACGGTACAAATATATATTTAATTACAAACTACAATTGTAATTGGTAATCGGTATGTATATATTGCTATATCTTAAAATATTTTCTTCCAATGTTTATTTCAGATTAAGATATGGTATTAAGCAATATGGAATGTTCAATACATGTTACTTGCAACGGGTGTGAAATTGCATTGATGTCATAACAATAAGTAATATAATGAACTACTCTTTAAAATTAC